TGAGGCCTGAGGAGAATAAAGGACTGGAGAGAATTCCCTCCTTGCCCCATGGATAAATCCATTACTCAGAGTTGGTGTATCCAGCAGAGACAACAGGGAGGATTTTACTCATCCCAACACCTTGCAAGATATTCCCAATTAGCTCTTTAGCTAATTACCCCCTGGCTGTTAATTTGAAGGCATAAATTAGAGGGATTTTTACATAAATGAGATTTTTACAAAAAACGCACCGAGAGAAACGTCGCTCCCGAGAAAAATCCTCCAAGGAAGTTTCCAGGAGGTGAGAGGAATAACAGCCACGTAAAAGTGGAGCAAAATCCCTGGTTTCAGAGCAAAATGAAGCCAGGGATTCATCCAGGGATTCATCCAGGGATCACATTCCCTTTATTCCACTGGGATCTCACTGCCTTTCCCAGGGGCATGAGGAGCAGCAGCAGCAGCGGCTTTATTTATCCCCCTGGATCTTCCATCAGCAAAAAAAAAGAGGAAAAGGTGGATAAATCTTCTGGAAGAGCTGATTTCTCCATATTCCCTCCAACAGGCACCTGAGAAGGAAGGAAAATTCCTCCCAAGTGTCCAAACCACCTCTCAGCAACCACTCTGAGAACTCCATCCTTCGGGTTTGAGCATCCAAAAATTCCCTAATCCCTAAAATTCCCCCCATGCAAATGCTGTTTAGGAGGTGAGGAGTGCAAGGAAATATTGGGATCAAGGGTTGGACTTGATGATCTTGGAGGTCCCTTCCAACCCCTTCCAATGATTCTATGACTGATTGAAGTCCTGAAGGTCCTCGAGGAGCACAAATTGGAGCTGAATCTTGTCCTCCTGTGGCTTCAGAGCTTCCCCTCTGCGCATTCCCAGGGTTTTCCAAAGCCCTCATTCTCATTCCAGGTGCAGTTTGGTTCCGATGGTTGTTCCCAAAACCAGTGACTCGGTCTTCCAAAGGGAATAAATCCGGATCCAGTGGCACTCCACAGCTGGAGCACATGGACAACCGTGTCCTGGCTGCTCCCAGAGCTCCTCCCACAGGAATTTGTCCTCCCAAAAAAGTGCCAGCCCTGCCTTCCAGCGAGGTCACTTCTTCTTGGCTGGGGCCTTGGCATTCCCACCAGCTTTCCCATTCCCACCAGCTTTCCCATTCCCACCAGCCTTCCCATTCCCAGCAGCCTTCCCGTTGCTTTTGCCGCCTCCTCCTGCTTTTCCTGCTTCACATTCCTTCTTTCCACCTCCTTGTTTCTTGTCACTTGTGTCCTTTCCCCCCTTTTCTCCCTTTCCTCCTTTTTCTTCTTTTCCTCCCTTTTCTCCTTTTCCTCCTTTTTCTCCCTTTCCTCCCTTTTCTCCCTTTTCTCCTTTTCCTCCCTTTTCTCCTTTTCCTCCCTTTTCTCCTTTTTCTCCTTTTTCTCCTTTTTCTCCCTTTTCTCCCTCTTTCTTTTTGGCCCCGTCCTTCCCTTCCTTCTTGGATCCTTCCTTCTGCTCCTTCTCCCCGTCCTTCTTCTTGGTGCTTTTGGATTCATCTTTCTTCCCCTGAGCCTTGTCCACTTTTCCAGACACAGTGGGAACTTCTTCCTTTTTTTCTTCTGCAGCCTGAGCTGTTGGAAGGATGGAGAAAAAAAACAAACAGGAAAGGAGTTAATTGGGTTGAAAACAGCTGGGAAGAGCTCAAAATTCCTGTTTTATTAGGATAAATCTTGGACAAAGGGAAAATACTTCTACTGGGGCTTTTTTTTTTGCTCACTGATGGGCAGCTTTTCATGTCTTTGTTTTGAGAAGATAATGGGATAAATAATAATAATTTCAAGAGCAGATTTGTGGATTTATTGGAGGAAATGGCTCCTCTTGGTAGGAACTGATCCATGAAAATTAAAACATAATCCATAAGAACTTCCCAGTAACGACCTGGAGTTGTCTCCTTCCACCAAGAGGAACAGAAACATCTCTTATGCAGTTCAGGACAAACTTGCCTTAGATTTGGGGGGTTTTGGGGCTTTTTTAAAATTATTTCTTTGTCTATTGGCTGTGTCTCCTCCAGCTGAGAGCGGGGATTCTCCTGGGGAGCTGAACATTAGATTTAGATTGGATATTAAGAATTAATTCTGTATTATAAAGGTGGTGAGGGACTGGAATGGATTTCCCAGAGAAACTGTGGCTCCCCCTGGATCCCTGGAAGTTTCCAAGGCCAGGTTGGAGCAACCTGGGCTAGTGGAAGGTGTCCCTGCCCAGGGCAGGGGGTGGAATTGATGATTTTTAAGGTCCCTTCCAACCCCAAACCAATCTGGAATTCTCTCATCTTGCATTCAGTGCCCACACTTCAGCTGAGAAGTCTCCTCGGGGTCCCGCTGCTTCCTCACACTTTAATTAATCTGCCAAAGGATTGGAGAGCAGAAAACTTCCCCTCATTTTTCTTATTTCCCTCCTCCTTCAAGTGGCTCCATTTCCCCAAAGGGCTTCTCCAGTCAGAGATTGATGCTCTGAACTCTCATCTCAAGCAGCAACTTGGCACCTCAACACTGCTCCTGTTTCAGGGGTTTCTCCCACAAAGTTTTCCCGTCCCTCAGGAAAGTGGAAAGTTTGGGAAAATCAAGGGAAAACGTGGTGTGACCTCTAAGGGAAAGGGACTTTGGGCAAGGGAATGGAGGGACAGGACAAGGGGAATGGTTTAAACTGAGATGGAGTTGGATTAGATGGGATATTGGGAAGGAATTCTTGGCTGGGAGAGTGGGGAGGGACTGGAATGATTTCCCAGAGAAGCTGTGGCTGCCCCTGGATCCCTGGAAGTGTCCAAGGCCAGGTTGGAGCAACCTGGGCTAGTGGAAGGTGTCCCTGCCCATGGCAGGGGGTGGAATGAGATGATCTTTAAGGTCCCTTCCAACCCAAACCATTCCATAATTCTGCCATTCCATGATTTTTTTACATTCACAAAAAATATTCCTTTAATTTGGACTTTATTTTAAAGTATCACCCTTTGACCTTGGGAACATCTGTCCAAAGGGGAGTAGAACAACACAGACCCTTCCTTACAATCCCAGGGGAAATCCAGGCATCTCATATTAAAAAATAAAAATAGGGAGAGGAGGAGGAAAAAAAAAAAAAGAACCAACCCACCCCATTTTCTGCTTTGGATAAATGTGATAGAAACCAGGTGAACTCCCAAAATATCAGCTGGAGCAGCCTCAGGGTGGAATAGTTGGAGATCTCCCAGGATGTGGACAGAGCAAAGGCCAAGTCCTGCTTGTTCTTCTCCCCCAGGCTGGGAGGGAGAGCACAAACAAATCGATTTTATATCACATTTTATCCCCTTGAACCCCTAAAAACCCATTTAATTTATTCCCAGTAAAAGGAATATTCCCTTGTCCTATATGACATTCCCAAAAGTGCATGGAGAGCCAGTTGGCACCTCCAATATTCCTAAAAAATGTGAATTGAGGGGGAAATAATGCCAAGAAAGGAGATTATTTCAGCATTGTGATATATTGATGATTGATGGCTTTGACACTCACAGCAAACCTGAAAGCATTCCATGGCCACTCAGGAATTCCAGTGGCTCCAGTCACCCCTCTGGGGTCGTCCCAGCAGGATTTTAGGGAATGTTGACAAATCCATCATTTAATGAGCTCACAAATCAAGGGGAGCTGCCAAAGCCAGCGGGGCCTCCTGGCAGAGCATCCCACTCTGCTCCCAGGGAAAGAGCAGCCCAGAGCTCTGCAGAATTCCCGTTGGAATGCTGGAATCATGGAGGGAAATTTTTTTGGGGGACGGGAGGGGCTTTGATCACACAAGGCTCGCACCAAGCGAGGCCTTTGGGGCCTCCAAAGTCGGAGCCAGGCGGGAATTTTTAAGGCACAGTTTCCCTCTCCCGCTTCCAGCACCTCCCCTGGGGTGAAAGGAATCCCAGCCTTTGGATTTTCCACCCGGGATACGGGGATAAAGCCTGGATAAATAGTGCTGGCACGCTTTTACCCCACATCTATCTTATCCACATCTATCTGGATGTGGATAAAATCCTTATGGAGAGGTGATTCCCATTCCAGGACTGGTTCCTTCTGGGAATTTTGGGAAGATTTAGATCAGCCAAGTCCAAGAGGACCAGGAATTTCATGAGTTATTATCAAATAGCAGCAGCCACTCAGCAATATATTATCCATCAACTTCCTACTCTGCAGCAGGACCACAATTCCAGAATTCCCAAAGTGTGGCCAACATTTAACTGGATAAAAGGGGATTTCAGGGAGGTTCCACGGTGCAGCTGATGCCCAATAAATGCCCAATAAATGCCCAATAAATTGATTTCTCGTGCTCATTTTTTCAGGAGCTCCTGCTGTAATAATTCCCCGTGGTCTCATTAAATCCACACCCAATATCCAGCCCTTGGATGGAGCACACGGATGTGTCTGTGGGATGGAAAGGCTGCCTAGAGGAGGTCAAAATTTCTCAGCATTTTGGGGGTGAAACAGCCAATTTGCTGCTCAAATACCCTTTCTGCCTCTTCTGGATATTCTCACCCTTCATTTATTGGTTTTCCAGAAGGAACAGCAGGAAGAGGACGGGGCAGAAAATGAGGGAATTTGGATTTCTCCCATCTCCAGGCACGTCCCTTCACATCCCCTGGGATCTGCTGGGAGCTGGTCCTCACAGGGTCAAAATTTGGACATTTTGGGCAGTGAATCAAAGGATACTTTTAATTTCCTGCCCCAAATGTGGGCATTTTCCACATGGGATTGCTCAGACAAGGTAAGACTCAATCAACCACACACCTTTGGAATTTAGAGTAGGTTAAATTTAAGTGTTTGGACAAGGGGTTCTCCCTGCCAGTTGGGTTCTGCTCCAGAGAGGGGTCTGACCATCCTCAATTTATGATCAGGTGTCAGGACACCTCTGAAATCCCGAGCTTTGTGCAAGTTTTCCTGTTGTTAAACTCTCAATTCTGCGTTTTGCTGGTGCAGGACTAAACTTCTACAGTTCTTTCACCTGCCTCTTTCCACGATCCATGGAAACATCACGTTTGGAATGAAGGAAACTTGCAGTTTTTAGGAAGCAGCAGGTCACAGGGTTTGCAGAGGCGCAGGAAAGAGAGGGAAAAAAAGGTCACAAAACCGGAGAAAAGCGCAGAAAGGAGAAGCAGAGAGTCCAAGGGCTGACGGATCCCAGCGGAAAAGGGAAGCCACAGACAGACAGGCAGGAGAAGGCAGATCCCTAATTTCCTTGCAGGGCCATTTCATCCTCTTCTTGCAGCACAGGCAGGGAGTTGAGAGGTCTGGGCTGGACATGACCAGAGAGAGGAAGGAGAGTTTCAGTAGAGCCTGTGGCACAGAACCAGGAGAGGAGAGTGAGAGCAACAGAGAGCACAGCCAGGAACATTCCTGCTCATCCCACCACGGATGGGGAACGTGGAACTCCAGCAACTCCTTTTTTTTTTCCGGCTGACACCCCCCCAACCCAAGAGCTGGGCCCTAAAATTAATCAGATCCCCCCTGGAAAACTGAAACCTGAATTCCTTGTTCCAGTTCCCTGGAAGGAGGTTGTAGCAGGGAGGAATTTGGGCTCTTCTCCCGGGAAACACGAGGTGGGACAAAGGGAAACGGCCTCAAGGTGCACCAGGGGAGGTTCAGGTTGGATATTGGGAAGAAATTCTTCACTGGAAGAGGGGTTAAACATTGGAACAGGCTGCCAAGGGAGGGGGTGGAATTCCCATCCCTGGAAGTGTTCCAAAAACAGGTGGATGTGGCACCTCAAACTATGGATTAAAGGTGGGGTTGGGTCAAAAGCTGGACTTGATGATCTTGGATGTCTTCTCCAACCTTTTTATGGTTTCCAAGGACTTGTACCAATGGAGAAGGTCTCTTTTATCTAAATGTCTGTGTCTGCTGCCACAAATGCAGCAGACAAATGTTGAGAGGGGGTTTATCTTCAGATAGGAGGGGTTTAAAGGTGGACTTACATCAAGGGAGGACTTTTGCATTTGAGGTAGAAAGGAACCAGCAGGTTTAGGCTTGTTTTAATGCCACAGGTTTTACCTTAATCTTGGGAGGGGTTTATCTTCTGACAAGAGGGGTTTAATGGTAGCACCCAAGGATCCACAGGGACTTACCCCAAGGGAGGACCTTTGCATTCCATGCAGGTTTAGGCTTGTCTTAATGCCACAGGTTTTACCTTAATGCTGGGAGGGGTCTGTCCTCACACAGGAAAGGTTTATCTCAAGGACCCACAGCAAGCCCCACCAAGGCAAGACCTTCTCAAAAATCAACCCCCAGGGGAGGAGGTGTCCAAAAAACAGGTGGATGTGGCACCTCAAACTATGGCTTAAAGGTGGGATTTACTCCAAAGCTGGACTTGATGATCTTGGAGGTCTTTTCCAAGGGTTTATCCCAACGGTGGCACCCACAGTGACCCCCACCAAGGGAAGACCCTCTCAAAACCCAACCCCAGGGGATGAGGGGGGTCTGGGGAGGGCGTGGGCACGGCGGGTACCTCCAGGGATCTCGGTGAGCTCGTTGAGGGGTGGCACAGTGTCCAGTTTGTCAGCATAGTTCTTGGCCGCCTGGCGCTGGGCGTAACGCGCCTCGATCTCCTTCTTGGTGCGCGGGATGCGGCACTTGAAGATGCAGCACAGGGTGATAACTGGGAAAGGGATAACAGGGAAACAGGAACCTTTGGATTAATCAGGTCATTCCTTTGATGCTGGAGGCCTAAAAGCCAGGAGATAACTCCCTAAGACTTTTTTTTTTTTGTCAGGAATCTCATCTCATTTGACTCATTAAACCTCTCCTGGTTCTTCCCCTTCCCCAAAAACCCTTTTTGTGGCTTTGAAGTCTCTCCCCCAAGACATTTTGTTGGGGTTTTTTTGCCATAAAAATGTCTCTTCGTAGGGA